TTGTATTAATTGGTGTTATGGATATATATTGTTGATTTGCATTGTTCATTTGATTGACATGAAATAGAAATGGACTCTTCTAGCTCTCAGCCTGAAAACAAGAATGGAAAAACAAATATGAGTTGGACACAGGACATGGATAATTTACTCATTGACACACTTGCTGAGCAAGTCAACTTTGGAGACAAGGTTGACAAAAGTTTCAAATCACCGGCTTACACTGTAGCGGCACGTGATATTAGCACTAAGTTTTCAGTTGAATGTACTCAAGGACACATACGAAATAGGCTGAAAACAATCAAGCAGAATTTTGCAATATTAAAAAACCTTTTGAATCAAAGTGGCTTTGCGTGGAATGATTCAACCAAGACAATAGATGCAACACCTATGCTTAGGATACATATATTGAGGTAAAATAGATTAACAACACTTACTTTAAACACTTGGTTTACAAATTATATGAAAGATGACTTATTAGTATGGAAGGTGATTTATTATGGAACTCCCATGGTAAACGAGCAGGCACATCCAGAGGCAAAGCAATTTAGACGAAAAARCATTCCAAACTATGACCAATTGGCATTGGTATGTGGAAATGATCAAGTGACTGGGATTGGTGCCTTTACAGCCAAGGAGCTAAATAAGCAAGATGCAATTTCTGCAACTGCCACTAGTGCAACACCGAATGTTGAGCATGTGTTTGATGACATTGATGAGGCTGAGAATTTTGGAGATTCTAACCTTCAAGCAAGGCCGGTGGAGGCAAGTAGTTTTGCAGAAGGAAGAGTTTTAGGAAAACGGAAGTCATATGCTTCAATTGTTGCTGAACAAGTGCAAGACATTGCTATACATCTCAGGAAACTTGCATCTGCAGTTGAGAGAGGGTTTTGTTTATTTAGCAAGGAAAAGGTGTATGCCGATGTTATGAGCCTAGAAGGATGTTCAATGGCATTTTTTATGAAAGCATATGACTTCTTAGCTGAGTCTGAAAGTCGAGTTATGACATTTTACGGAGTGGAGCCACATTTGAGGAAGGCATGGCTTCAAATGAAGTTAGGGCATCCATATTGAAGTGATGGATAAAAGACTTAAACTATTATAACTCACATTTATTAACAAACTAGGTACTAATTATATATGACAAAAACTTGTTTTGATGGTTGAGCCTTTGCGTCCATTTTGTATATTTTTTGGGGATGCATTGGCAATTTGATTATTGTCCTTTTTTTTTTTTTGCGATGGTCAATCTACTTGTATTAGGTGGAATGAATGGTTATATTTTACCACAATGGATTTATTGGTATATKGATGATTATGACTACATGGAATGAATAGGTTGAACTGTTGGCATTGTTGAACTAATTACAGGTTAAAGACAAATTCAAATGATTTATTGATGTATGTATGACTTTTTGAATGAAATAGGTTATTGAATGCAAATTCTTTGATGTACCAACAAGTCCAAATAATAAAGCAATTTTAGTTCCTAGTAGTTTTTTTTATGAATGCATGCACGTGCTTTTTATGGATGAGTACATTGAGTAGACTTATGAACAAATTCTATGATGAATGAGCAGGTCCAAATAATTAAGCATTTCTTACTCTTTTTAAGTAAAAKTTTTGAATGAGCAAGTTTAATAACACTATCATGCTACATGGCAAGTTCAATCATATGTGTCATACATTTGGGGGGTGCAAATTGTCATAAAAGTAAATTACATGCATTTTTATAGTTTAGCATGATTTTTCTCCTATAAATTTTCTTGCAAAACAAACAYTAGAAAGTGGATTTTCTMACAAAAAWWTTCTYARCAAACAAACACATTATAACTAACTGAGAAAATAAATTTTCCTCTTCTCATCCCAACATTTCTCATCCCATCCTTTCTCAGTCCAATTTTCCCAGCAATCAAACAGAGCCTTATGGATATGGACAAGGTGCAGATTAGATGAATGACGTGTAAATATATGTAGTGACAAACTGACAATGGAGGAAGACAAAAGGAGCACTCCAAGCATTTAAAATATGCCCAAGCGTATGCGTAAGCATTTACAAGTATATATAAATATGTATATTACAAAAAAGCTCCACCCAGGAGACAACAATGGCCGGCAGAAGCAGCTCGGCCACTCTCCTTCTAGTGCTCCCTCGCCCTCAGCTTGCATGCTAGTTGTCCTCTTGTTAATTTCTTGATCTGTCTTTTATAAAGCTTGTTAGTTTTTCGCGCCAGGTATGATCTTTCCTTCATTGCTATCTTAACTTTTGGTTGAATTTTATATTTTTTATTTGAAACGCAGAGTTCAGTTCCTGTTAAGAGGTTGGCACTGCCTAATCATCGACATTAGGCGGATCTTTGTCTCCATTGGCAAAGCCATCTCCCTAGCTCTACAGGGGAAGTGAAGGATTACAGGATAAATTGAAATGTTCTATTTACTGTATCTTTCTATAAGTTATAACTATACATCAATAGGATCTTAATTATAATGGAGTAGTGATTATTAATTAAATTCGAGAGAAATTCGGTAGGTCTGGAAAATGGCATTATATTTCTGATCTAAGCTAAAGAGACCATGAGGGATGACTTGATCTTCATGTAGGAAATCTACTAGACATATATATGCGTGACACCAAATTAAGCTTGAGCAGGCACATATAGCTAGTCATCAAATAGCAAACCCAGTAGTAATCACAGTGGTTAGAACTTAGTGATGAACCATGAAGATGCAGAGATGAGCGGCTGCTACTTGGGCGCTCCAAACCTGCACAAAAGGAGAAAAGAGCAGCTGCCACACGATATGGATCCGAGACACTGGCCCGCAGCAGCAAATCGCAATTCGGCACTTCTTAATCTGAATGGAGCTGGAGCAGAGAGGATCATTTCCTTTCTGTCTAATGTGCTTTTCACACATGCAAGAAGCAATTGGGAGTGACTCCTTATATAAATTACTTTCTATCTCCAATCGTTAAGTTCCCTATTATTAGGAACAAACAACAACAAAGTAATCAATTGAGATAAGTACTCCTCAACAGTATAATTCATGCTTCATTAGATTTGAGACAAGTGTGATCTAACCACTTGGTCATCAGTCTAAACTGGGTCAAATGTATATCCACTGACTCAGTAAGAACTGGAACTTGGATCCAGAAAAACCCAATAATATTGTATCTTTACGCATAAAACATTTTCCAGTAAACAACCAAATAAATTTTCTTGTATTTTAAAAGGTGAATGATTCAGTAAGAACTGGAACTTGGATCCAGAAAAACCCAATAATATTGTATCTTTACGCATAAAACATTTTCCAGTAAACAACCAAATAAATTTTCTTGTATTTTAAAAGGTGAATGATTGTGTGTGAAGGTATTGCATAGAGATAACCATGAAATAATCATCACTTAGAATCAAAGGAGGGCATATGGGCACTCTACCATCACTTAGAATCACCTACTCACTCACAGGCAGAGATGTTTGTATCTTGCATACATGCCGATAGCTAGATATATTATGACCATGTTTTTTGCAGGTGAAATGGCAATGGAACCAGTTAACGTGAGCGAGTTCCAAGAGCTGGCTAGGCAGGTTCTTCCAAAGATGTACTATGATTTCATTACCGGTGGAGCTGAGGACCAGCACACTCTTCAGGAGAACATAGAAGCATTTCGTAGAATTACGTAATGTACCAAACCTACATAATAATGTATATTGCTTTTAATGTGTCAAATGGATGGAGCTCGCCATTTTACTATTGGCTTTATATATGTATGGGCTCTCACTCAGGTTTCGACCGAGGGTTCTTGTAGATGTGAGCAGAATAGATCTGTCAGCTACAATACTGGGTCATAACATTTCGGCACCCATCATGGTTGCTCCCACTTCAATGCATAAATTAGCACATCCTGAAGGTTAGAGTCCTGTTGAGATAGTTGCTACATCAGTACTCTCTCTATTCATATACTCTGATTCGAATTTGTGAATTTTCCTAGGCGAAGTTGCAACTGCAAGAGCTGCAGCAGCTTGTAACACTATCATGGTATTACTTCAGTCTTGTTAATTACTACCTGTTAATTTTTTATTTTGAGCATGTAAATTCTCAGGCTGTTTGAGTTGTAGGTATTGTCTTCTACGTCATCCTGCACTTTGGAGGAGGTGGCTTCCAGCTGCAATGCTGTTCGTTTTTTTCAGTTATATGTATGCGATCCTTGATACGTCTCTGTTATTTCAATGTTTTAACCGGTCCATTAGCTGCATGGAGTAGCAGCATCTTGGATTACTAATTGTTAGTTTTAGATGGTTGATAGAAACCCACAAGTAGTTTTGGTGTTCCTAACTGAGCAGGTAATGAGAAGACGAGATATTTCGGCTCAATTCGTGCAGAGAGCTGAAAGAAATGGATACAAGGCTATTGTTCTGACAGCTGATACTCCTCGACTTGGTCGAAGGGAGGYGGATATAAAAAACAGGTATCGTTTCTGTTTGAAATTATGAGTCATTGCATATACAAGCATGTTTTTATAATCATTGATGATTAAGGCTATTTCTAGCGAAAAGCAAAAATACCCACTTAAGRTACCTATTAATATTTGATGATTTGACCATTCAGTTGTAGGAGGTTCCCCCTTGAGTCTTGACAGAGCTAGTGTTTGTGCAGATTATTAAGGATATCACAGTTGAGTTTTTTTCCATGTTAGTTGTATTGTAGGAGGGTCCCCCTTGACAGAGTTAGTGGTTCTTCCATCACCACACTAGTGCCCGAAACCTTGGAACACACCAAACGTTTGAGAGGGTCTTGAGCTCTCTCCACTACCCAACTGCACAGAACAATGTAGACTCTTCTTTCATGCTGGGTCACTACCGTGTGGGAAGAGCTGGGACTTCCTCTATTTATAGAGAGGTTCTGGAGTCATTCCATAACCGACTCCATCCCTTATAACTTGGATGCATGTAATGCCTTCTGATGCTATGAGTGGGTGCTGCTAATCCAGATTTAATTTTTTGAAAAACTCCATGAAAAACAAAATTTAATTATTTAAAGACCATACTCCAACATGGCATACAAAAATATCTTACCTTACACACTGATGCCCTCTGCAGACTGGTCTTGCCTCAGTTGAAGAATTTCAAAGGATTGATATCAACAAAACCTGTTTCTGTAAGTAGAACACCTAATTACTTCACTTTTTACGGTCCAAGTACTCAAAGATCATATTAGTAATTTAAAACTGTATGTTTTCCCATGAAAAATTCATGTAAGTGTTCCTCTCCATGTTTGAAAAGGATTCACTTTAGGGGAATGATTAGGGCATATCCCATTTTTTATTAAGGGGCACATTCCTAGTCAAAAGACAAAAAACCACTCTTTCTTATAAGAAAGGTCAAAACATGGAAGTGCTTTTGTCTTTAAGTGGTTTACTATTTGAGTTGAATAGCAATTAGGGATGTGCCCCTTTTATTAAAGATGATATACCCAAACGACTCTTCGACTTTTCTGCACCATTCCTTATAAGTGGTTAAGAATGCTTGCTCGAAATTCTAATGATTTTATTTTAGTTATGCTAAAACTTTCTTGTTATCTTCACACCCTAAACTTTCTTGAACTCTTTCTGCCTTCCCCCTTCTAAAAACTTTAAGTTAGTTTCTTTTTAGGTTTCAGTATCATGCCTGGACCATGTTATACGCTGTCCAGTGTCATTTGCAGAAACATTGTCTTAACACTAATCCAATAATATTTTTTTTTTTTTATTTATATTCTTGTAACTTGTCTTATTATCAACCAAAATCTCTTCCACTTTTCATATCATTGCATATGGTCGTTTGTAATTTTTTTCCAAATTTTTGCAGGAAAAAGGTTCTGATCTTGAAGCTTTAGTGTCTGGAATGCTGGATGCTTCTTTGAGTTGGAAGGTATTAATTAGTAGTTAAATTGCTTTACCTTATTTAATAGTATCATACTTTCTGAATTCTGTCAGATGTTTTTTTCCTTGTAAACATCTGAAGGGATTTATTATAATATATTTTCTAAACCATGCTTGCACAGCTCCTCTAGTCAAGGATCATGCTCTTGTAGGAGTAGGGCTGCTTCCAAATCTTCAGACTCAATGACTCATATTCCTGCACAAATTACTCGCCCCTCACTTCTCTATAATCCCCCCTACCCACTTGGCTATTAAGAGTTTAATCCCAGTTTTTAGCTTGATTCTTTTTTCTTGTACATATCTCGTTTTCTTTTTTTACATGTAACTGATCAGGATTTTGTAAACTGAAAGATAAAAAAAAGTAATAATAGAACAAGAATTAAGAAAGGGAAATGAAGATGAAGAGCAAAGAACCCTTCCAATAATAAAAGAGAGCTTGCTCTGCTGCTACACATGCCCAACACACAGTCGACCCCAAAAAGAACAGAAAAAGAACTAACTCAGGAGTAAGTGTTCCAATACAAAGTCTGTCTTTTTCTTTCTCTTCTTGCTAGCATCAGAAAGAGCAACTGCTGATCTCAGAATTGAACAGAAAGTAGCACTCAAGCTAGAGGACAAAGCCATGGCCTCTCTAATCTGGTGGCAAAATTCCCAAGTAATTTTTCCAGTCTTGGAACTTGACGAAAAGAGAAAATAATGTAGGAAAAGAAGTTAAGTACTCTTACTAGAGTGAGCATGGTCACTAATGAATGAGAAGTAATAAGATCTGTAGATTATAGAGGAAAAGAAGCTGGTCAATGCCTGAGAACTAATTTAGGATGGCTATAGTCTAGTGAAAATACTGGTGGGTTTAGAATGGAGAAAAAGTGATATTCTGATGGCATAGCAGCAAAATACAAGTTCAAAAGTCTCTGTAAGCTATGAGGTAGGCTAAGTCTGTGCTTCTTTGACATGCTCAAATACACAATGACCAGAGAATTCTAATGCCAACAAGCCTCTTTAAAGCAATCAAGAATTGCTAACTTAATCTAAAGATACCAGAAATCACTAAAAATAATAAATCAAAGTTCTATATGGTGTGATTATGCAAATTGCTAGAAACATTAAGTATTTAAGTTAATATAAACAGTAGCCTTGCCTTTTGCTATGAAAAAAAGATTTATAGAACATTAAAACCTAACCCTACAAACACCTCCTTGTTTTTTTTTTTTCAGTTGAAGCTCCTTCAGAAGAGATTTGCTCATATCAAGTTTCCAACATCTATAGATGCTTGAATACACTACCAAAATTCGTCATTGAGTTTCCATGTTTATATAAAGGCATCAATCAAAGAAGAGATAATAATTCTGTAACCAACATAATTAACTTTACTTTATCACAGCTGGTTTGTTTTGGTGTTTTTATTGGATTATAAGGGAAGCAAAACTGCTACAGGATATTGAGTGGTTGAAATCCATAACAAACTTGCCGATTCTGATCAAAGGAACACTCACAGCAGAAGATGGTAAGTCCATGTTTCTAATACTTTAATCTTGTTACTTTCCGAAAACCTCCCAAATTGGGAAAAAAATCTAAAACAAATAAGAAGAGCAATCTTACTGTTACTACTTTTATGATTGTATTTAGCCTTTGTGTTGTTCTCTCTCTCTCTCTCTGTGTATGTGTGTTTCTTGTCTTTCTTTTAAATGCCTTTTTAAATTGTTGGGTTGTGAATGGTTGATGATTGATATTTGGAAATTTTAATTCATAGAAGGAACTTTTTTTTTTCTTTTCCAATTTTCCTGAAGTTGAATTGAATGTTTTCAATGACCTTATTTGCAATCATGTTCAGCTGTAAAATCAGTGGAGGCCGGGGTTGCAGGGATAATAGTATCCAACCATGGAGCACACCAGCTTGATTATGCACCAGCCACCATTTCTGTTCTGGAAGAGGTGACTTAAGTAAAATTCTAAGAATAATTAATTTCATATGACAATCCACTTATTCTAATGCCATATATTTTACTTTTACCTTTATTAATTTGGCCAGTAGCATTGTTCAGTGTAACTATCATTTGTGTTTGATGGATGCCTAGACATTAATTGGCATATCTAGTGCAACAGAAGTCTACATTTTGTTCCAATAAATACCATCGATAATATGAAAAGAAAGAAAATGTTGGATGATTAAGTATCCGTTTTCATTCTCTAAGTTTCATATCTTACCTCACTTCTTTTGTTTCTCTGTTTCCATAAATGCCTTGTCAAAATAAATAAATAAAAATAAAAGTAAAAGGGTATTTCACTCTCAAAATGTTATAATAATTATGCTCCTCACAGAGGTGACGATCTAAAGATGTGGGAATCTGCCTCTTCAAACAAAAATGACCTTTTTTTTTTCTTTTTGAGTTGATGCTGGAGGAATAGGTGGTTCAGGCTGTTGGGGGAAAAGTTCTTGTTCTCTTTGATGGAGGAGTACGGCGTGGAACAGATGTTTTCAAGGCCATAGCTCTTGGTGCCCAAGCTGTTCTTGTAAGTAAGATTTAATTCATTCATTATTTAGCATGCACACTGGTTTTGATAGAACACAGTTGTTAACGTAAACAATAAACCTTAAGCATATAGAAGTAAGAAAGTCTGGAGTAATAAGGTCCAAATACAGCAATAAAGGAAAAGCAGACACTCAATTTGGAGCGATGCCAAACAAAAGCCATTCTTGGAAGGTTTCATCTATAACCATTTAATTCACTCACAAACTTTGGTGTAGGGCAGAATTTCCCCAAGCATGTTGACAATGTAATAACTCCAACATGGTCTCTCACCTAGTGAATTTTTAACCTTGGCTTCTATTTTCAACCCAAGAGAATACTATGTTACTCCTATGCCATGCCTACTCAGGAGTCTGGACTCAAGAGTAGGAAAAGATACTCAGACCTCTCATATAATGGCCTGTCTCTTGTGTAAACTATAACACAAATTATTGGATTGATGATCCTAAGCCTCTGCTGCATGGTTTTGTTGCCCCATTCTTTTAGTGTACAGCTTTTCAAAGAGACCCCAGCAGGTGAATTGTTGGAATTGATGCATGAGTCAACTGTATCTGTATGGAGACCTTGAGTGCCCATCACCATCAAATACTAAAATAAGATAAATGTAATAAGCAACTGGAAGTCTTAACTCATTGGAGACATCACAATGTCAATATACTCCATAGTTTTATTGACACCCTGTCCATTTTTGCATCCATCTAACGATTTTGTGTACATTTATCATAGGTTGGGAGGCCTGTGTTCTATGGGCTAGCAGAAAAAGGAGAATATGGGGCCAGGCGGGTTATAGAAATGCTAAGGGATGAGCTTGAGCTCACCATGGCCCTCTCAGGCTGCTGTTCCATCAAGGAAATTACCAGGAGGCATATTCAGACACAGAGTGAGAGATTGCACTCATTGCTATAGCATTGGCATTAAGTGAAGGGATATATCCAAATTATGTGCCGTGTTTCATTTGAAACATCAAGCAGACTCAATAGATTCAAGAGTAGGGTTCGATAACCAAATAACAAAATCTTTTTCCTTGGGATCTGCATCCATATTTTGTGTGCTAGACATGTCCAGAAGATACCGTGTTGATGGAAACTATATATCTCTTGTAATTTATCTTTTGTTATGGCACCGATAGCTTTCTTACAACCATCTAATCTGCAGTGTTGGTCCTTGGGCGAGGGGGGGGAAGGTACTATGAAGACAACTGCCTAAGTCCAAACCCTGAGCCTGTAGGTTGAGATGCTTAACAGTGGTGTTCCTTATTTGGGGTTGAAATCTGTTGCAGCAATCCGGATAAGAAATACAAGTCATATAATCTGAAGAATTGAACATAAACCTTATAGAAGTATGCGGTTATTTTTCCTTAAAAGAATTTCCAACCTCTACCAACTTCTTTATGGAGGAAAGAGTAATGCCCAAGGCTCAGTAGTTTGGGAAGAGCCCAAATACAAATGTGTTAAGTGGTATTTCTAAGGCTCAGTTTGGAAGGAGTACAAATACAAATTTGTAGAGTACAAAACCTTGTATTTTGTATTATTTTATATATATTTATATTGTACATATTTGTATTTGTACTCTTTCCAAATTGAGCCTAAACCTTATATTTGCACTTTGGGAAGAGTACAAATATAAATATATAAAGTGCAAATACAAGGTCTAGAAACGCCTTTATACAAGGTTTTGCATTGGACATTAAGGATTTCTATGGAAACGATTAATTGAAGTTAAAAAGAAGAAAGAACCAAGGAAAAAAAAAAAAAAAACTAAAGTTCTACAAAGAAAAGACAGAAATTAATCAAGTTTAGAGCCAATTTATCAAATATGCAATTGAAGCTAGGCACTAGGATATCCTTTTATTTCTTCAAAACTCGAAAACATGGGAGAGACCCAATACAGTAAGGCTGTGTTTGGTTTGAAAGAAAAGTAGGGAAACCTGTACAACCTTCCTTTCCCTACCTTTTCTTTCAAACCAAGCAAAGCCTAAGAGAGTTAACCAAATTGATGTTTTAGAAATTGGAAGAGCACAGAAAAGTATTGTCTTAGGCTTTTAGCGGAGAGTTATGCCAAACATCCAAATGTATATAGAAGAGAGAACCATACATAGGAGATGAAATTCCAATTCCTTTCTTCGTTTTCTAATTTTAATAGATATCGCTGTTTAATCCTTTTCCAGTGATTCACTTATTCAATGTTTTGACTAATTCGACAAGCAAATATTTATGATCCTGAAAGAAATTAAGTACTAACTGCTAACCAGAAATATAATGGCCAAGAAAAAGAAGGATTGGTATCAAAAGGAATTGTGCCCATGGTTTTCAAAACCGGACCGGACCGGAAAAATCGGGAATCAGTCACCTGATTGGTTCCGTTTTTCTTCAAACCGGCTTTTTCCCTTAAAATCGTTGATTTTGGTCAGTAAACCGTTGAACTAACTGGTTAGCCGTTCGAATGGTTTTGACCGTTTTTCATTTTTTTTTTAATTTTTTGTCAGAACAGGCTGGTCRTTCGGATCGAACGATCGAACTGTTCAAACCGRTAACTGGACCCCTGACCGATTCAGTCACCGGTTCGTTTTTAAAAACCATGATTGTGCCATAAAGAAGAAGGCTTGCCATCAAAACATGAATGCAGATTGCCTATAACTCAATATAATTATCTGTCACTTGTCAAATTCTGTGCTCTGCTAAAGAATTTAGGTCCTCCCTCCGGCTCCATGTTTGGATGGAGTTTCATACATTTCCATACCATGGACGTTAGATTGTTGGCTTTTTGGTGTTGGAATGGTAGAAAATTTTGTTCAGGGGGAACAACTTTTGGATTTTCACTAAAGTCTCCCTTTAATTGTTTCAGTGGATCGATTTTCTGTCTTCTATTTTGATCTTCTCTATTGTCGTCAATTATGTCACATGAACCCAGTAAAACGTTTTAACCATTGAATTATCCAGGCATATCAGTCCACGTGTCATGTTTCATATCACATGACATGAGAGGTTTTATCGATCAGTTCCTTTGGAGTTGAACTCAATCCACAACCCAGAAAAAAGAAAACGAGTAGGGTCCAGTTTGATGTGTTGTGTTCTGTTTTTCAATTTTCGATCCATCTATCCTATCCATACCCAACCCACAAACATACGCACAGATGGTGGCATGGGCACAGAAATGAGGCCGAAATTGTGCCTTTCTTTATCAATGTTACCCAGGTGCACATGTTTCAGTCTAAAGTCCTAATCAAATGGGTTGGAGTGTTGGACAGCCCACCATACTGTCAAGTCCTTAAATGTATTATTGTCAAAATTCATTGATGTACATACATGATAACACACGTTTAAACGCCTCTTGAAAGAATTTGGAGTTTCGGATTGGGTGGAGACAAAATCATGCACAGCGGACTGGACAATCTATCACAAGTGAACACATATAAGGTGTGGGCCTTGCAAGAACACGCCAACGGAACATACCTGTGACCTGTGACCTCCCATTTATACAAAACACTACTGGCCTGGGCTTATCCATTTGTGATAAATTGCCCACCCCGCTTTGCATGATTTTGTCTCCAGCCCATCGGACCCCCTTGAAGCTGGATCAGACGAGAGGACATTGGTTCACGTGTCTCCATCCGTGTACTGATGGATGAGGTTAGTAGAAGTCCACGTCCCAGGTCCTGTTTTGGGCCCACTGCCCACGAAAGACCAAGAGAACGAAGATAGGCCCATATTAAGAGTCGGAGTCAAAAAGTTTGGCAGTTGGCCTACACACCACATGCTCAGGCCTCAGGGTGGTTAGCAGTCTGTAATAAATGGTTCAGTACATTGAATCTTAAATGGGATGTGGAACCTCAATGCTTCCATCATTTACTGTCGTCCTAAGTAAGGCCAATACACAATACTGTATTAGGATAGAGTTAGTTGCATTTGGATAACCTACAGGATTTGTGCTTTCGACGTCTAAAACTACATAGAACGATATGGGGTTTGATTTGAAAGTGTTTTACCTTCAAATGTACAAGTGAATTTTCTCGAATTCTCAAAATACATTTTTGCCTTAACAGAGGTGTTCATGTCAGCATAAATAATAATATTCATGACCAAATTATTCTTGAATGGTGAGTTTGAGGAAAAGTGGTATTTTCCAGTTTTCAATTTTCTTGTTTGTTTTTTGCATTTTTAATGTTTTGTTATAGTTTCTAATGCTTTTTATAATTTCTGTTTTTTTTTACAATTTTCTATTTTCTACAATCTATAAATTTTTGGTGCTTTTTCTACAATTTTTATTTTCTGATTTTGTTTTTCAATTTCTATAGTTTCTATAATTTGAAAATAATTTTTTATTTTGTTTGCAATTTCTATGATTTTTTATATTTTTTGTAATTTCTATGTTTTTATGTATTTTATATTTGAAAATATTTTTTTTGAACTTTTCCTTTTTTTATGTCTAAATATTAAAATGTTAATATATTAACACCCGTTGATTTATTTTGTATATATTTTATATTTTTCTATGAAGGTTAAAATGGTAATATATTAACGCCCGTTAATCTGTTTAATGTCAAGTTAGTGACATGGTGAGTTTTAGACAATTTCCCTATTATATTTGTTATTGTTACGCATATATAGCATCTAACCATCAAAATTGCATAATTACCATCCATCATCTGATAGTAAATGGACTCCGGATCACCTGCCAACAAAACATGTTCCAATCCTCTACCAACATTGTTTCACACGGCACATCTCATACCTTATAGGTCCCACTTTTATGATGGGTCTCAGTCTCATGGTGAAATGTGTGCTGTTAGATCAAATTGGTAAAGGATTGGAATTAGCAGAAGATCTCAGCTCTGGTAAATGGTGTTTAACCAGGCTGATCAGCAGGTGGGCCCATTTGGAAGGAACTGTCCAGTGTTGGTCTTAGTTTTTTTTTTCATTGTTTGTTGTTAATAACCTTGGGACTAACCCTCAAGCTAAATTTAAGTGGTATATAGTCGCTTTCCTCCTAAAAGAGTACGGGTGCAACTTGGCGGGCCCAATCTGAGACCGAATCAATCCAAAATTTTTATTCGGATTGGGCTCAAATTTTCAATTCTCAGCTTGAGCCCAAGAATTCGCATTTTTTTTTTTAATTTTTTAAGTTGAGTCCGAACGTAACCCTTTGGTAACTCAAACCTAAGGCAACTGTCCAAACTCCACCCGGACCCAAATCCAACCTGAATGCATTAAATTATAGTATAAATTAAGCTGCGGTTTAAACCTGAATTGACCATAAATTCAACCCAACCCATCCGATTTACACTCCTAATGAGCAAAAATGGTGAGCTCGCGGCTCGTCTGCTATGGTTATGGTTGTAGCGCTGTAGATGGGCGAAGGTCGTGGGCGATAACAATTAACAACAGGACTTCATCAACCCAACCCTAGATATTTCCGCAGAAGCCGCGAATCCCGCTCCATGTCTACACTCCGTAAGAGTATGGAAATATTTAAAAGGAAGATTCTAGCTGATGGTACTAACTAGTGAACTTCCTGCTTTTTTTTTGGACAGTTTAATGAACTTCCTGTTAGTGATGTCAATTGGTCGGTCTATTTCGATTTAATCCGGATCAAGGTTCAAAGTATCGACTTGCTCGATACTAAATTAGTAAAAACACTTCAACTTTTTTTAAGATGACAATAATTAACAGTTATACTGTACAAATTAATATTTAAATATTAATAAATATTTATATATACAATTAAAGAATAAACATATAACTTGATATTATATAATCAAATTTTACTTTTCGTGATCTGCACCAAAATCAAAGTATATATAAAGCATATATCTACAGTCTGTTAGATGGATATAAATTCTACCTAATTCTAATTATTCATTGCAAGGATAATAATAATAATAATAATAATAATAATAATAATAATAATAATAATAATAATGTGATACATTGAACCTTGGTCTTGATAATCAAGTCCAAATCAATAAAGTAAATTTGCAGAACCAGTTTTAAATAGCATAAAACAAAACAAAACAAAAGGAAGATAACAACAGAAAAAGGAACACTATACATAGAGATAAATTAAGAAACGAGAGCATCCATGGGTAGAGCAGATCCGGTAACCTTCACCCCGATAACGAATGGTTAGGTATTCCCCT